GAGGTAATTAGAATGAAGGCAATTAACTGACATGCCTAAAATCCCACAGTGGAGACAGACCTTGGAACTAATTCTCTTGATTCCTGGGTCAATATTCTTCCCAGCACATTAAACTCATCTTTCGAAAGAGTGAACCATGAACCTTACCATTTTCTCCTCTATTCAGTGGTGTTCATTCAATGCATACAAATGACTGAAAATACTCATCTTGAAACATTCCAATGAGATAAGCATATTATCTCTCAATAGCTTTTTGGATTATGTTCAGAGTCATATTGAGGAGGCAGAGAGGGAGAAGGCTCGCATTAGTGAGCTGGTGCTTTGGCCCACTTACCCTGCCTGCCGTGGTTCTCTGACAGGAAAAGCTCACCTCTGGCTCAGATTTACAACATGAGAGTGCATAAATCCCTATTCTTTTCTTCTTATTTCCTGTCACCTTTATTTCTCTCTACATTTACCACCGCTGAGCATGCCCGCTTGTTGTGCCATGTTTCCTAATTGCATGGTAATTTCTTATACGCGGAGAACTTGTTGGAAGAGCTCTCCACAAAAATGGAACAGATTAAAAAATACTGCACTTATGAAATTAAGTTAATTAAATATGATTAACAAACATAAATGACTCATCCAACCGCCAGGCTGGCTTGCCTAGGAACTCTAGGTCAGGGTATAAGGCACAAGCCTTCACTAGGTGCCAGCAGGTGAAAGAATGTGATTCCTGAGATGGATGCAATTTTATTAGCACACAAACAGTCATTTTAGATGTTTATCCTTGGATAGTACTGAATTCCACTAACTGATTTCTTACCTTACATCACCCAAGCAAGCTTTAAACAGTCAGCTCTAAGCACTTCAGGTGTTCTACAACTAAAGGGCAGCCCCTGTGATCTGGAGTCAGAAAACCAGGCTCCACCCTCAGCTTTGATACTTAATTGTGTAACAGTGAACAAGTCACTTCACTCTTTAAGTGTCAGCTTTCTTACCTAGAGAATAAGGAGAAGAACTGCTCTGCCTACCTGACAAGATATTTATGAGGATCAAGAGAGATCATGTCTATGAAATTATTTTATGGTCTTATATATGTAAAGGAGTAAAAATGTTTATCATGACAATAATTAATAATTATACTATTAGAGGGGCTAACACTTTTTATCCTATTTTTCCCTTTTCTGTTAGTATTTGTTGAGTTAATACATGCTACTGCAGTACCTGGTATTGAATGATCAATAAATTATAGCTATTAACATTATTATTATTACAAGGGCATATTTTCCAACGCTCTTTATTTATCTCTTGTAAATACAATAGAAGAAATGATCTCCCGAGGATTCAGGTAAACCAGTTATGGAAGTAAGAATGATCTGCCCAATCAATACAATTGCTCATTTCTCACCCCTACCTTAAGTGGGAAAGGGAAGAGTAAGCAGAGATGAACTTGGACACATGAATCAAAGAAGAGTAGATTAAAAGTAGAGAACAGGGGAGGGTGGAGGTAAGGGGGAGAGATCAACCAAAGGACTTATATGCTAGCATATAGGCCTAACCAATGGACACAGACAACAGGGGGGTGAGGGCATGAGTGGGGGGTAATGTAGGGATAAGGACACATATGTAATAACTTAATCAATTTTTAAAAAAGTAGAGGACAGGTATAGAGTATCCTAAAGCAGTCTATTCCCCCACAATCCTTTTTACTCTTTCCCCCTGTTTACTACGGATTTTCTGTGTAACCTTAAAATGAGTCATTTAACCACTTGGTCTTTCTCAGGATACCTTCCACCATTCCAAGATGCACTGATTATATGTTTATCAGAATACATCAAGATATAGCTTATTATAAGTTTCCTCAAAAGAAGAAAAATGCTAACAAACCCAGATAGAACCAGGTCTCTCTCTCTCTCTCTCTCTCTCTCTCTCTCTCTCTCTACCTTCCTACATAATCTCTCTCACACACACATTTTTGTTATGGTAATACTGTAGGAAGACTCCATTTATAAGTAGTCATCAGATAAAAATTTTTAGACATAAAAAATGGAAAATAATTAACATTATAATAGATCACAAGAAAAGAATTTCTTAAGAAAGTTTTCTTTATATTAATGATCAACACTTTCATCTATCACTCCTCTCTCCTTTTATGTGAAAATATTTTATTGGTCTGTGAGATACAGTGGAATAATATTGCCACTTTTACATCAGGAAAGTTAGTACTCCATTTGCTCTATTCTTTATCTCCTGTGAATAGAGAATAGCCTATTCACTGCATGTTTGAAATTAGCGATTAAAATCATATTAGGAAATTGCCTCTTCTAAAAGTTAAATGTAGTTGTCTATAGTATGTAATGATTTTAAAAACGTAAAAGTTCTCTGTTAATGGGATAAAGGATGATAAGTTATAGCTTAGGATATAAACATGAATTATACAAATAAAACACATAGACATATACATAAACACAATATGTATTTACATATATATTTTCATGGTACAAGATGAGAAAATTAAATATTTCAAGAAGAAAACCTATGTTTTTGACTGAGATAGAACTGAGATAGGTCAGGGAGAGAGAAAGAATTATCCTATGAGAAAGAGAGAAAATTAAACATAATAAGATGATATAAGGCAATTTTAAGGATGACTTACCTTTCAATATTTTTCTATATTATCTTTCTATGAACTTTTCTTGGTGACAAATAGTACTCAAAATTTCTCATGTTTCAGGTTCACACAAATTTGGGGGAGAAATATGGATTTTATAAAAACAGTTCAACTTCTACATATTGTTAGATTTGGGCTGTGAATATAGAAGAGCACTGTCTACTTTACTTCCCATTTAAAATTCAAGAAAGAAGTTGGAAAGAGTAAAATATACATAATGAATTATCAATAAAAACAAAACTCTGAATTAACATAACATTAAAAAATAAAAATGTTATAGTTAATAAAAACAACAAAAAGTAAGCTATTAGGCTCCAATTAAAAGATTATTTTAAATTAGAAGAAACAAAATTTATGATAATATTACATGAGGGTCCCAGATTAGTTATTTTCCATCCAGATAATGACAGTAGTGCAGACTATTACAATGAAATTAATTTATACTAAGTCTTATGGATTTAAGATATAAATTCTGAAATTGTGTGCTATTAATAACCACAGTTATTTATCATTGGTATCATATCATTTAAGTGAGTAGCAGATTTGCATCATGTGACACAATCTAAGTTTAAACATCATTTACCTTATTTTATTCTTCCTACTTTCTGGTATAAATACTCAACTGAAGCCAAAGCTGTATGACACATCATGTAACATTTGTGCTAAGCAAAGAACATTAATGACTATCACAAATCTTAAGGAGTATCAGGATCCTTATATTCACATCACTTGATCTCACTGTGAAAAGATCAAGGGTTTGGAGAAATGAATGCTTTATTAACATTTGAAAACCTTAATCAATACATTTTATACTAAATACTAAAAGTGAACTAGGACAGTCATCTCACTGGCCTCAGCCACCACCAGTCAATGAGAGCTGGCTGATGTAATCTCTGTTTTCCAAAAAAGTGCTACAAAAATTCATTTTCTATGCTTTTAAACTTGTCAAGTTTAAATGCCTAGAAAAGGGCAGACGAAATGAAAACGATTTTCAGAAAAAAAGACATTTTAAATTAGGTTGATAACCTAGATATTCACAGTTATTACTGCAATGCATTATTGGAAAATGTGATGTTACAATTCTGTACCATCACCCACTGAGGACTGTGGACATATCTCAGAACAGTCATGGTGGGTCACATCCAGAAAACAAACGAACATGCTAATAAAAGTGAGGAAAAATGAAAGGAAATGTCAGAAAAAGGAGAGGATCAAATATTAAAATTGTAGTCTAACAAGGATCATGATTAAAGTCAAATTCAACAAGGATGTGGATGTATTTAAAATGCAGTTTCTTAACAAAACCTGATTTAATCTAATGAATCATTGGTCCCTAATCATTATTTCTAATAATCACTGAAAAGAAACTCACTCTTCTCAAAATATTAAAAACAAAAAATTCATCTTATCCCAAATAATTTAAAGAAAAATATCAAGAGTCCCAAATACATTTAAATGGTTTATCAGGCAAATTTTCATTATATATAACTTGTATATGATTTTAAACAACAGGTAGGAGCAAAAAATCTTCTAAGACTCAGCACTTTTTCACCCTACAACGAGTTTTCTCAGCAGAAATCATGACTTTTCTCTAACCCAGGATCTCAAACATCTGCTCCATGGAAAACTAGAACAGTCCCAGACTTCCCTGATCACAATTTGAAAGTATACATTAAACTGTGAGTTTATAAATGAGTGTTTCCTTTACTAGCCTATATACTCTGTGAGGCCAAGGCCATATCTACTTTTTCCCCTGCTATGTATCTAGTACAAAATAGGCCATCGAAAGCATGTTTAACACTGAATAACTGAAACATAGTAGAACCCCCTACTAGTCACCCCACTTCACCCCCAACACACATATAACTTTGGGGATGACTCTGAAAACTAGAAAACAGAATTCTTGCACCTGCTCCACTTCTCTGCTCCCTCTCCATCCCCGGTCCACTGTACTCTGGCTGTAATAAACATTATTTCTATTAGTGCTCTTATCCCATTGCATTGTAATTGCCCCCAAAGTTGAATTTTTGATTTGACAGTGCTAGCATCAAGAAATGGCTTATGAAAATAACATATTCATTACTTCAGAATGTAAGGAAGAACTGGATGGCATAAAAGAGAAATTGTATGAAATCAAATAAAGCCAATAATCACAACAAACAAAATAAATCACCATCTTCTAGTTACAAATGAATAGGATTAAAAAAGTATAAAGTTAAGTATCTTCCAAAAGGAAAATCCTATACATTTAATAACAACAAATCACCAAGAGTCCTATTCTTTTTTCCATATAAAATAATACCTTCATAATCTTTTCAGTGAAAACCCAGAAAGGAATACATACATGACAGTGTTAATGCCTGAGAGCTGTTGGAACATCTGTAGGCCACAACCCACAATCAAAGCTCGGCGAGTGGGGGGGTAACTCAGCATTCTGCAGATCACGGGTCCAGCTTTTTAAAAAAGAAAGAAAAAGAAAGACAAATCTATTATTTTAAGTTCCCATAGTAATTTATCCCATAGGATACATTTCCCCAAATTTCTGTGAAATCAACATGCCTTGGAATTTCAAAATAGAACATATAGACTTTTGCAGAAATCTGGGTACAGTGTACTTTTTAAAACAGACATACATCTATGCGAATACAAGGAAGACCTACATAACTCTAAGTGTCAGAAATTAGTCTTCCTTAAATCTCTACAAGCTGTATTAACTACTCTTTGTTCTTCTACTTCCTTGGCAATTAATTCTTACTTAAAATCCACTCAATGATGAACTACTTACAAAGTCATTGACAAATTGCTTTAATCATAAAAAAAATAGCACTCATTAAAAACAATTAAACAACGAACAGAATTCATTTGACTAAAGCAGTGATGGCGAACCTTTTGAGCTCGGCCTGTCAGCATTTTGAAAACCCTAACCTAACTCTGGTGCTGTGTCACATATAGAAATTTTTTGATATTTGCAACCATAGTAAAACAAAGATTTATATTTTTGATATTTATTTTATATATTTAAATGCCATTTAACAAAGAAAAATCAACCAAAAAAATGAGTTCGCGTGTCACCTCTGACACGTGTGTCATAGGTTCGCCATCACTGGACTAAAGTAACAAAATTCTTTCTAATCTACTCAACTAAAGTTGAGAAATTTGGCATGATATCAGACTTTGTTATGGCTATAGTGGATATTATTAATAAAAGTTACCAAAAATAATAAAAGAAAATTAATGTCTATTTTATATAGGTGTGTGTGTGTGTGAGTACATACACACACACACACACACACACACACACACACACACACACACATATACAGGTTTTCAATATGGTGTAGATGGCTTGGCCTCTCTATCAGAACTCTAGATCAATTCTGGAAAGCTGTAGATATGAACCACTGAGGCCTTAATAAGGTGACTAACCTAATTGATGTACACCATTTGGGCATAATTACTAAAAGTTCAATTACACCTTCAAGAGGTATTCTATATACTGTCCTCATGAGGCCAGCGTGGACTCTAAGGATCTATGTATTCCTGCTATTAGAAGACATGGCCTGAAATCACTGGGATGTTAATTGCTTAATTAGAGGCATTTTTTTCCCCTGGAGGCCAAGTTTCATTAATGAACTCTAAACCAAGACAAATTAAAATCCAAGGAAGTCTTACCATTTCAGGATTCTTTTGGAAATCTAATATTCCAATTCACAGAAATGGAACAGAACGTGCTGATGTCTTAGAAATAAAAGTTATTGTGGGATGTCAAGCCAGGGTATTAATTAGAACTGAGTATTATAGGAGTGAGAATATTCATCTCTACATTGGTGTGTTACTAATCACATGCAAACCTATTTCCTGCAAATGATTGTGTGTCTAAGTGGTAAGACAGGACACAGATAGAGAAGCACTGATAGTCACTCAAAGCTCACTGTGGTGCCAACCCATTTAGAAAGCTGGCTGAGAGTATTCTAAATGTCAAACTGCTTCAGAGTCAAGTGAGGCAGTGTTAAAACCTAGAAAGGTTGTGTGAAAGAGGTAGATTTGGGGAGCTTTACTGTAATAGTATTAAACTATTATCTGGATCAATTGATGAGCGGGCCTGTCTGCAAATTCAGAATAAAAAACCGTACACGATATCATAAATATCTACCTATATCCATAAACAAAAAACTTCAAATAAAAAAGATTACCATTCACCTTGAACCACGGAAAACTTAAAAAACAGCAATTGACAACAGAACAAAAACAAGCAAAACCCCCTTTCAGGTTTTAGAGGCTTCCACATATGAGAAACTGGCTTTCTTCAATAAACCTTTTATAATCTTTGGATAGCTGCATCTACTTTTACTATTAAATTGTTCCATGATTTGATGGACAAACTAGGTAACACTGATTTTGGAGGGAAAAATATTATGATAAAATTATGGCAAATTAGGCTTAAAATCTGACTTGCCAAAATATCAAGAGATAAACTATTACATAAATGTCACATTTATTTTCCAGTTTTGATAATCTTGGCTTGAACTTTCTCTTGCTTTGAATTTCTTGTTAAAATAAACAATGGTAGCTCTTTATTAGATTTTTTTAAAAGGATGAATTTGGTCATAGCAGTTCCACATCTGATTATACATAAAATTTAAAAATTTCCTTTCAGTAAAATCATAAACCTAGCTTTATTAGGCAATAAAACTTAACAAATGCAAACTATTATTAACCTTTATATCACAGAAGCTATGAGACAGAAGAAAAAAATCAAATGTATTAATTGGTCCAATGTTCATAAGTGAAAATTTAAAATGTCACACTGTACTTACTACATTTTTTTATTTTTCATTAAAAGCACTTCGTGTACACAAATATTTCATACTTAATTTTTAAAAATTTGTGTCTCTGAAATGCAGAAATTCCCACACAATAAAAACTAAAACCTCTAAATAACCAAAGTAGATTGGAAATGCAAGACTCAGAATATCCTATATAATAAAAGGCTAATATGCAAATAGACTGAACAGTGGAGCAACTGAACAACCAAACAACTGGTTGCTATGATGTACGCTGACCACCAGGGGACTTGGCAGCAGGTGGCAGCAGGTGGCAGACTGTGGAACATGGTGGGCGACCGCCGTGGAGGGATGGTAGAGCAGGTGAGGGGGAGAGCCAGACCAAGGCATCAGGGCGAGCCTCTGGTGGTTACTGAAAATTTTTTGCTCCCATGTGCCATGGTCCTGCCCAGTGCATGCACCTGCTGCCAGCACCAGCCCCACTTGCACTCACTGCTGGTGCCTGGCGCCGCCCTGATTGCTTGGAGCCATCAGCTGGTGCAAGCAGTGGCTGCCGGCCCCGATCGCCCCTCAGGGCTTCTCCACCTGCCCCTGCTTCTGAGGGGTGATCGAGGCAAGCAGTTGCCTCTCACACCTGCTGCCGGCGACAGCCCTGCTCGCACCCGCTGCCGGCACTGGCGCCAGTCCCGATTGCTCAGCGCCATCAGCAGGTGCGAGCAGTGGCTGTCGGCCCCGGATTCCCCTGAGGGTTTGTCCACCTCCCCAAGCTCCTGAGGGGCAATCAGGGCAGCAGCTGCTACTCGCACCTGCTGACTGCGCTGGACCAGCTTGCACCTGCTGCTGGCGCCGGCCCCACTTGCATTCACTGCCGGTGCCATCAGCACATGGGAGTAGTGGCAGTGGGAACGGGGCTGCTGGAAGATAGGGGACTGGGGGCTGTGGTGGGGGGGGGGCGGGCGGGGACATAGAGGATGGGCCAAGACCCGCCCCTGTGCCCATCGCAGCCTCAAGGCCCACAGTTCCTTGCAAGGTGCACGAATTTGTGCACTGGGCCCCTAGTAACATAATAAAACAATAGATGTGAGAACCCAAAATGGGTCCATCTGTTTCTTCATTCTGAGCACCTCTCACTAAGTACTTTCACAATGGTTGTCCAGCTGTGGCAGGGGCTCTGGTGGCATAGATGACAAGGACAGTCCCACAAGTACAGCTGTTCCTGGGGACAGGTGTCTCTGAAGTACTGGGCCTACAGAAGCCTCTCCCGGTATGATTAAAAATGCACCAGGACATATTTTGTATATGATCCTAGCTTTTGATTTCCATTTCCAGTCAAAATAGAATAATAGTCACCAGTTACCTCCAACATGAAACAACTAAAACACCATGCAAAAAATGAATGAAATGATATTTCTCATGATAAAGGAACAAAGGATAGTGACTCCTAAGATTCAGGAAAGAAATGAGATGAAACCTACAACCATCCAAGCTTAATGCCTTGAAAAAATGTCCAGGCTGCAACAGAGGGAGGGGAATCAGGCAGATCTTGGTTGTTTCCATGAGCTGAAAAGATGCAGCTCAGAATCCAGGGATGCCACGGGGGCTCCAGTTCACAGGGAGGAGGGCCAAAGAGAGAGATCCATGGGAGAGGACCATAGCGATCTACAGCCCCCCCCCCCAAGTATTCAGTTGAGTGCTAAGGAGTGGATATATGTGAGGAAACTACCAAGGCAGGGAAAGAGCCAAAGAAAAGGATTAAAGAAATCAGCCTCAGGAATTCACATGAGTCTGGGAAAAGGACCTGTTCTTTCCAACCAGAGTGAAAACCTAGACCAGTGATGGCGAACCTTTTGAGGTCGGCGTGTCAGCATTTTGAAAAACCCTAACTTAACTCTGGTGCCGTGTCACATATAGAAATTTTTTTATATTTGCAACCATAGTAAAACAAAGACTTATATTTCTGATATTTATTTTATATATTTAAATGCCATTTAACAAAGAAAAATCAACCAAAAAAATGAGTTCGCATGTCACCTCTGACACGCGTGTCATAGGTTCACCATCACTGACCTAGACCATAAGAAAGAGTATTCAAGAGGTTTTACCTCAGTAATACTATAAATTTAGTCTTAAACACTGAGTGAATAACATCTAAAACAGCTTAAAAGCAAGACCCAACTGCTTTCAAGTAACATAGAATAGCGTCCCAGAACAAAGTTCAACAGTAAGATAATAAAAATTTACAGTATCTGGAATATAATAAAAAATCACCAGGCATCCCAAAAGACAGAAAAGCACAATCTGTAACAACAAGAGGATTAATTCATCATGAGGACATAACAGCCCTAAATGTCTATGCACCTAATCAGAGCTTCAAAATGTATGAAACAAAATGTATGACACAACTGCAAGGGGAAATATAAAAACCCACAATTATACTCAGATATTCCATCATCCCTTTCTCAATAACTGATGGAAGAAGTAGGCTGAAAATCAGCAAAGATACAGAAGACCTCAACAACACTCTCAACGAACTTGACCTAACTGATATTTAAACAACATTCTACTGACCAAGAACAGAATACACATTCTTTCCAAAAGTAAATGCATGGTAAATGTCTTGAAACATTTACCAAGACAGATTATATTTTGAGGTCTAAAACCAGTCTCAA